ACCTTAATATCGGAAACATATTTTTGCATACATTAATCAGTATTAAAACAATATTTAACATCATGTTGAAACGTTTTATATAATTGAGAATAAAATTTAAAAAACAGAATTTTCACTTCCGCTTTTTCATTCAAGCAAAGAGTTTGAAGAGTAAGCTTTAGCAAAAAAATATTCTATTATATTGCACTTTATGCGTTATAATACGTTAATATTAAAATTTTGAACATTGCGCAAAATGTCTTTTGCATAACTATATAAATTATAGTTTATCGTAGAATCTCCAGCTTCTTCGCGCAATGCAAATCTCCGCGGAGCACCCCGTATAGTGGAAAATCGTGCCAGGCTGATGTCGCGCCGTACCGGGATGCAATTGCAGAGCAATCGGCTGAACGACACGCCGCAAATCAAACCGCGTGCAGCTCCACCCTCTTCGGGCCGCGTTGCGTCGCATCCTCCCTTTCGTCCGTATCCCTCTCCCCGGAATGATGTGTCCGCTACCCCCCTTTTAGATGCATCTCCGCTGCGTCCTCTCAATTTGACTCGACGCTTCTCCGGTGCGCTCGAGCGGTTCCGGCAGCTGCTTCGACCGATACATCACCTCGGCGGGACGTTTCGCGCGTTGCACGCGCCCGCTACTGTTAATTGTATCGATTGTTTTCGGACCGTCGGTTGTTCGACGGCGGCGGTAGGATAGTCAGTGGATAAGCCAGAGAGGATTAAACAGAGGAGAAGTTGCGCGCACAAGCGACAATACGCCGCCCGCCGCAGATTTACAGAGCTTCGCGGTGAAAACAAACGTGAGCCATTTTACGGGAACGGTTGTTTTTTAACTGGCGGTTTGTGGAACAATGGGCTTCCCCGTGAAAATCGAAAAGTAAACATTTCCCCAGATTTTTCTATCCCAACAACAAAAACAGTTCGTAGTTCCAACTTATAAATTATATATATGCATTTTTATTACACCATGTATATTTATGAAGTAAAGTTTTTTCGCGCAAGTTTTCGTTTCAAAAAAGCGGTCAACTTTATTTTCCAAATCAAATAATACGCATCCTCAAAAATTCTACAGCAGTTTGCCTTTAAAATTAACGCGTTACAGTAGCGGCTCGATCGAAATGTTTAATTCATGTCGGTTAAATGGAATTCGCGTAAGCTTGTGTTACGCATCCCATCGCCGATATATATCGGTTTTGTTAATCGGCAACATTAGCCGGCGCTTCTCCTTTGTATGCAAGACCTGTTCAATTATTTCCGCGTAATGCCGCGCTCCTAATACGAATCCGCATTGCATATTCCGTTATTGCTGATTGAATCGATTGGTTTTAATTTCGCGCTTAAATCGAGAGTCACTTGTAATACGCGCGTATCTTCGCGATACGCATATCTTTTTGACCTTTGTTAAATCAGAGTGCTACTTATTTTTTTAACTTATGAGAGAAAATACACTATCAGCATAGTTTTTAATATTATTCCTTTTAAATTGTACACACTCGAATCTTAATTGCACGTGTTGAAATGTTATCACTTTTTTTTTTTTTAATAACGAAAACAACTATCGTTGCAAGATAAGATTGATATTTTGTTTTTATTCGGAAATTCTCTCATGCGTCGAGTGTTGATCTTGTTGATCTCATTGAACAATTACGTTGCAAATAGCGTATCTGCCATAACAAACATCAGTTCGAATCGCGTGATCGCGAGGATTTAACGAACGCGACCGGTGTTTGGCGCTGAAACTCGTCGATGATTTCCGTGTACACGCCGGATTGACTTACTATTTGCGGCACATCGGTCGATGCTCTCCGCGCCATTGTCGCCGTTAATTGAAACGATCGTTTGCAGATCCGCGGTCGATCCCCGGTCATTCTCTTCACCCTGTCGCTGCCGAGTTACACGTGCGACACACGCAGGTGCACGCGACCGATATTCTGCATTTCCGTTACCGTAACTTCGATTGATCAATGATCTCGGCGAAACGCGCTAGTTTCCGCTTTCGTGGTCGCGGCGCCACGAAATGCGTTGAAAAAGCATTGAGAGCGGAGAGTGAGTTGTGTAACAAATATTGACGGAATGTTTGTAGTATGTATATAAATACATCGTTGTTTTTCAAAAAAAAAAAAAAAAAAAAAAAAAAAAAAAAAAAAAAACACTTCCATACGAACTTCCAGGTATAGTCCAGCTTTGTTACAGAATTGTGACAGTTCTTTATATCGCGTTTATACGCAAGTGTAAAGTGATAATTCCAATTGTCTGCTAAGATAATAATTATCGGCGCATCATTAAGCTTGTATTAGGTCGAACGTAAGGCCGAATTATACACAGAGTGTCCGATATATATACTTTCGCATTTAATCACATCGTTAGTTATTAATTTTTTCATTTAATATGTATAGTATATGCTGTTTATAATAAACTTCTCTGAGTTGCCGCGCGCATGACAATTATGAGCGCGCGAAACGCTGTCCTTTGGACGCTCATTCGCTGATCATTACCTATTAATTGAGAACTCGTTAATTATTGCGAATCTTGCAAAGTAATACAAGACTTTTCGACTTCGTGTACCTCTTTCTATCTGCCCACGAGCGACTATTACCGGACATTATATATATATATATATATATATATATATATATTTGTCAGGTTTCATACTTAATGACCCAATAATTAGAAGCTTATTTCAAAGTTAAATCCTCGTTCAGCTACATAGAGAGAAAACTCTGTTAAACCTTCACCAAGTTGTTAATATACGAATTTTAATTCGTTATTTATATAAGTTCAAAACAAATTTATCAGTGAAGTATCTTTCAGAAGTTCGAAACTTTATGGGGTGATACCGCTCAGTCAGCGCGAGCAGAAACTGGATTAAATTCTTCGCTTTCAATATAATTTTCCATTTTTATCGTTTTATTGAAAGTTCGGATTCGGAGCTGCCGATATTTTCAATCGAGAGTGCATTTCGCCGCGAAAATTCTTGACGTGCGTACTTTTAGTTCGCGATCTCGAGAACGATGCACTCCGCAGAGAATCCCCGCCTTCGCCGCACAATCTCAGCCCTTAAACCGGGTTGCGTTGGGCGCGCGAGAAGCGCTTACTCCGCAAGTACAAATTGACTTTTTCCCCCTCTTCCCCGCAACGGGACGTGCCTGATTGCTGAAAATGCAAAATAAACGGTAGCGCGCGGCCATCCCACCGACCTCAATCCGGCCCATCCTTCTTTTTTTTTTTTTTTTCGAGACACGCGCGCGATGGAAAACGCGCGCGGGAATTTCTCTTTACTCCGCCGGATTCATTCCGCCGGAAACTTAATTTTCCCACGGTTCTTCCCCTCGAAGCCGAGCCTTGCTTCTTTCACACCTTCGCGCGTCCGTCGTAACGTCGTTACGCCCGCAAGGGAAAACAAAGCGGAGGCCGCGGCGCTGATAAAGAGGTCAATACCGATTCCGCCGCGGAATCGACGATAATGTCTTCGTTGAATGGCGGTCCATTAAGCTCGCGCACGGTCTGATTCTTGAAAATGCACGGGAGCGAGCAGCGACTACCGCGTGAGGATAAATTAACCGTGACGTTGATCGTTATTTATGAGTATTTCTGCCCGGTAAAAGAGGCGGCGGCGGCGGTCGGCTTGCTCGTCAGATATGTTTCCGCGCTGTGAATATAAGCATTATTCCGCTGACGGTTGAAACACAAGTCGAACATCATAATATCTCTCGTTGATGGTTTTCTCTTCTAATTTTATTTAACTCTCATTTTCCTTCGCCTTTTTTTTTTTTATAAGAGAGTTCTTCATCAGCCGCGAAATTCACGCTCTATTTTTTACTCTCTATTCTCGCGTCACAATTCTCGCTACGGGCGATCGTCAAAACCGATTCAAAGTTTTTTTGTATTAACTGATTAATTAATAACTTAATGAATACTGCGAATCTTGCGAAATGATAAATGATCTTTTCTGTTCAACTTTTTGACACAATCCTCACACTTTGGCTGTGTCAAAATTTTCCAGACACCGCGTATATGAAAAGAAATTTGAAAAGAAAGTTTATATATATACATATATTCAACATAGCTACTATATTTTTATACAGGATTTATTCGAGCAATCCTACTTTCCGCTTGGCGTGATGTACGATATTTTTGCGCGGAAAAAGAGCGAAGTCGACCGTAAAGAAGTTGAAACGATTCCAAGTGGAACGCAAGTGTAAATAGCACGTTGCACTGCCCACTGGTCCTTAAGGACGATAAAACACGATGCGTACGACTATCGTACGAGTTGTGAGAGGACGAGCGACCGCTGCGAGACGTTCGTGAACAAACACACAGGTAGCATGCAATCGTTTGCGATTTAAACACAGTAGCGAGCAGTTTCGAAACCGCTCGACCCGCTAGTAATGGACATCGATGGTGACGCGGAAACGCAAGAGATCGTCGCAATATCGAAGAAAAATATCAGCGGTATCACATCTGGCTCGTCGTGCGATATTATTCACTCACAATCAGATCTGGAATCGCGACGAGAGTCTTGTTGCCTTTGAAAATGTGCAATTGCGAACCATGAACATTTGTTTTTCCTCCACGTAGTGGCGTTTTATTGTATTATATTGTTGTACGTTTTTTTTCCAGGATCATCTAATAAGGCAAAATTACATTTCCAACTGGAATACTGTATTGTATCACGCGATATTTTTGCAGATAATGTTTATGAAATTTTTCTTGTGTAATTTTCGCAATGGCTTTGAACACGATCTTTTTTTTTTAATCGAGAATAACGAACGTTTTACGGATTTTAATCTAAATTATTGTTTATAATTACCTACGTTTTTACTTTTTTACGCGGATGTGCATTTGCGGAAATTCAAAACGTCGCGCAACACATTATACGCGAACAAACGTTATTTACTCTTTTTCCTTCTCTCTTATCCATTAAGCGAATTACATTTCTAAGTAGCATAAATTACCCCGTAAATAAGACAGTCGCCTCAGGTATGCTTTCGCTCCTGTTTCAGATGTTTTGAGCGGTACCGCGCACGGAAATATGAAGACTGCGGTCGGTTCGTTTCTCTTTCTCTTTCTCATCATCGGCGGTGTCGTATGCGTCGATTGGAAGCACAGCGCCGTTCTGGACAACAATTTCTTGGTGCTCTGGACGCCCGATGAGAGGGAGGTCACATTCGAGGTCCAAGTGAAGACCCTCGGTTATGTCGGACTCGGTTTCACGAGGGACGACGACCATACCGGGGCTGACATGGTCATCGGTTGGGTCGATAACAACGGCCAGGTCCACCTTCAGGTGAGTCTTCTTACAAGGCGTCAAATAATATCTGGTTTCTTGCGGTCTCGACAACGAGACCCTTTCTGGTTATCTTGTCCGACCGCGTTAAAATATAGATGTGCACTGGCACGTCGTGATTATGAGTATATATTATTTATTATAGCTTTATACGCGCGATACTGTACATCTCCGCGCTTATATACTAAGCGCGTCTGCGAGAGGACACAGTGCAAATCAAATAAGAATAATATTTTCTTTGGCGAGAAAATAATACTTTTGTTTTCTTTTGCGTTTCGATTTTAAGATTTTGTTAGAAAGCGATTTTCTAAATAAGGCTTTCGGACATTGACCTTAGTATAGATAAAAAAAAAACAAACAAAAAACACAGAAAACTAAATGTATTTTGACCGTTGGGAAAAATCTTTGAAAATCAGAGAGGTAAACAATCTCTAAAAATAAAAAATTCACAATCGTCGCCAAGATTAGATTATTGTAAAAGAGACAACGCGAGATATGCGCTGACTTAGCACAAAAAATATTTGTGATCAATAGACATTATTAAATAATAATTTCATAAAATCCCTTGGTTTTGCACTTAAATAAATTGGGTTTTCTTCATATAAATTATTAAATTTCTACATAAAATATTAAATAATTATGAAATTATTGTTTTAATGATTTTATTATGTTAAATTATAATTTTTATTAAGTTGTGTGAAATTTATTTCAGAATGTTCTTTTACATAATTTTATGTGCTTATTTAACAAAATTTTAATAAGATATTAGCCTGTGTAAAAATTTTTTAGTCCTTAATATGTTTTAATTAACATTAGCTTGTATCTGCATGCTGGTTTTTCTATTTCGGACACTCTTTACGCAGAAAAATTGTAAATAGGAAAAGCGTGCAGAGAGAGAAAGAGAGAGAAGGAGAGTAATGGAACATTAAAGCTCACTGATATGTAAGTCAACCGCGCCAACGTTCCCGCTTGTGTGTACACGGCGCGCCGGGGGGGAGGAGGGGTAAGAATAATCAGGAATAATTATTTCCGTGCTACTGATCGAGTGGAGTTCTCTCTTTGAATATTGTAAAGTTCGCTCTGGCACGCCAACATTGACGATGGAACGCGCTTAATGGTAGTCATTCGGGAGATAAGTAATGGCTCTCCCGTTTCGATCGGCGCATCGGATAGTTATCAATCATGCCCACTAAAGCCAGCAGCCTGTCATTACGCGTTCTCCCCATTTTACACGACACTCGGTAACATCGAGGACTCGCCCCGCGATGGCGATCACCTTACGTAATTTTTCCGCGAAAACGTTGTTTCCCGTAACTTGCTCATTATACCGACGCTGCTCATCTTCATCGCGACGATGAGGCTTCTGCGCAACGATAAAGGTAAAATAAATGTACTCGCCACTTTACATTTTTGCGTCAGCTAATCACGCTGTGTCTATACGGGTAATTTCTTTCTCTCTCTCTCTCTCTCTCTTTTTCCTCAAGAAAAAACGGTACACGCATTCAATTCACTTTTCGAAGCATGTTAATGTTTCACCATTACAAAAATTTATACGCAAAGAAATTACAGTCTTTTGATAAATGACGCCAATCAGTTTGTTCAATGCACGAGAAAATTAAGGATTTCACATTTTATGTAATGACGTGCATAACGTAATCGCTACGACGATCGCAACTTCATGTTCCGCTATTTAATTTCGCAAAGCCGAGATTCGCAAACTTGTACCATATGCATCGTGACTGTCCGCATAGCGGTTAGGATCCAACACCGTCGTAATAGTTTGGAGTTAATACCGCGTGCGACGTGAACGCCGGCGGGAGTGACTCTTTGAATAACAAGACGTCATTCAAAGAGACGCCGGTAAGTGCGCGAGCGCGCGCGCTGACGAAAGAGGAAAGAATTTCTCTGGGCGTGTAATCCGGTTCGCGCGATTTCCACGTGAACAGCCACGAGAATTTTCTGCAGGGACGTTACTTTCGAGCGTTTTTTTTTTTTTTTCAAATTTAAAACATCGTTAGACGCGCGCATCTGGGGACGCGCGAGATTCTCTTCGGGGACCGGACGTGAAGGGGATTACACGCTATATCCACCCTTTCATCAGCGTTACGCGACCGTTGACAGTCCGCGCACGCTTCTTTGCAGCTTGAGTCGAGTAGGTAGATAGGTAGGTAGGTAGGTGCTTCTTCTTCATCGTCTTCTTTTCTTTTTGCTTTTTCTTTTTATCGCCGCTATCTTTTTCGCGAAGCGAGCCGAAGTGAATAAACGGCAAGGGCGCGCTGCTTGTTGCATCGCGCAAACTTTTTCATCGTATTATTTTTTAAGTTTGTGCGTCGCGCGCGAAACATTTTGCCTAATTATCCGCCGTGTAGATTTCTCAGCAGCTATTTAATTCGCGCCAAGCTTTTCGTTCGGATATGTCAAAACAAAAAATACAGATTGGTTTGGGTTAAACCATCGTGATTGGTCGGGGATAGGACGCATCGTGACTACATTACGGAGATGCTTCTTACAAAGTGGAAAGCAGTCGTAACCGGGAGGACGCAATATAGGAAAGCAATCTTCCACGATGAGTACCGCGAGGGTCGAGAGTGGTTAGGTTAGGTCGGTACATATGTAGAGGTATAACTTTATATCTCTCTGTATTTCCTAAATGGTTTTCTCCAAAAGAAATGGAAGAGAAAATACTTATCTTTGATTTTACATATATATATATATATATCATGATCTTATAATATATATTTATACAATATATATTTATGATATGTATTTATTTTTGTTTTTATTTTTATATCCGTATTTTTATTACAACTTTATGTTTCTTTTCATGTATTTTTCTCTAATGGTTTTATTATTTTCCTATTACTATTTTATTTAATAGTTTTCTTCAAAAGAAATGAGACAGAAAAAAAACTTCTCTTTGATTTCACATATACGTCTTTCGTATCACATGTAACATATTTATAATATATTTATTTCGTTTTATTCATTTATTTATTTTGTTTTCATTTTTGTTATCCGTTACAATTTGATTTTTAAAGTTACAAATAGACATTTCCGCATCGTTCACTTTTTTTATAAAAATTGTACATGCAGGCGCGTTTCTCAGAAAAAAAAATGTGTAGAGTCGTATCTGTAAAATCGATGGTAGTCGATACGCGGGAAGTACACACACGACGAGAAACCGATATTAGGAAAAAGAAAAATATTCCGATCTCGCTTTGTGAAGCGGCGCAATTACCAGCCTTCCGATTGCATTCCAAAGGATTCCGTTATCATATCTATAATGAATTGAGAACGCACACACATCGTTCACCCACGTAGAGAGATCGGTAGACCGTAGATATGGGGTGGAGAGAGAGGTAGTCGGGCTGCAGATCGCGTCCGTCTCGCGTGTCCGCAATTTTTCCGGCAGAATCGTTGCTCGCTCGTTCCATAATGCATGCCGCGCGCCGCGGCAATGCTCTATGCGATGCAACCGCGTCGCCGGACGTTCTCATACGTCGTGAAAGAGAGGAGCCGATAGAGACGGTGGATGGAGGAGCGCGGAGGAAGAAGCGGAGCCTGGCGGACGGACAGAAAGGGAAAAAGACGACAGCATCCAGTGGGAGCGAGAAGCTTTTTCGTTATGATCGTAATCTTAGAACCAGACCAGCCGCGGGCATCCGGACCAACCGGACGACTGCTGCTCCGCTCGATTTCTTACTCGCCTCGCAGCCGTTCCTCCGGTCGATACGCGACTTTAATTCGCCTTTCGCGTGGGCGATAGAGACGCGCCTTACCGGGGCAGGGAAAGGGAAGGAAACGAGAGACGATCCTGTCGCAATCCGATATGCATGCCACGTCGTGATCATCCGAGTGTTTGTCCACACAAGGGAAGGGAACTGGCACGCAATGAGCAAAATCGTCCCGATTGCGTATATCGTGCGCATTGCACACGCGTGAAACGTGGATTCTAATCATAGCTTATCGAAAAAGATCGTGTGTTCGGTTGATAATGCTGTGTGCGAAGCAAAGCATTATGAAACATTTATAATAAAAACGTAATAATTCGCACTTACACGCGCGTGAAAAAATATAACAAAGTAGTTTTGATACGTTCGAAAATCTCTTGTAGCTACGCGATTAGACACACATGTATGTATATTGGCCTCGAAAATTCTATCCTTTGTATCAAACGGCTCTACTCTACTGTATTATGTCTAACTCAATTGTTTTGCATGATAAATCTCACCGTGACCAGACGTGTACGTTCAGCGTACTGACTGTTTGCTGAATAAATGATATAACCGGTAATACCCCGCCGTCGCAGTGCGCTCTCCACTCGTGAAATTCGCGTGCGTAACAGATGAAAGAGGAGCGGGTGCGAGAAAGAGAGAGAGAGAGAGAGAGAGAGAGAGAGAGAGAGAGAGAGAGAGAGAGAGAGAGAGGGAGGGTATGGCAAATAACCGGCTGAATTAATAAAGTCGGCGCAACAGGGAGGTATCGCTAAATCATAGAAGACACGCGGGATTAACCGTTTCGTGCGCATTCGCGGGAGCGCACGAAATAAAGCGCGAATTGCGCATTCGCCGCCCTGCGCGCACTCGCGTGTGTGCGTGTTCGCATAATCCCCCTCTTCCCATCCAATGTAATGCGCCGGCAGATTGCATTTTCAACGAGGTCAAATAATCGCGTCCAATTGCGAGATGTTTAATTCGTTACGTTCCGCGCGTATTGTTTTGCGGCTTGTCACGTGGCGCGCAATATTCGCGGACGGCTTTATTAAAATATCTCGTGCGGTTTTCCCTCGCGACCCGCCGCTCGCGCCGTCACGCTTTTTGTCGTCGATTTGTGTCGCATTTCGCAGCTTCCGTCGCATTTTAATAACGCGACGCGACACGGACGACGAATGGACAGACCGCGGATTTTTTTTTTTTTTTTTTTTTTTTTTTTTTATCCGTGTCCTTTATCTGCATAACGTGTTCTGTCTATCTCATTTCTGTTCGAACAACTTGCGTTCA